GGGCAGAGAACTGAGACGCTGTGTGTGTTCCATGCAGGTGTCCAAGTACGTCGCTCCGGAAGGCATTGTCCAGCTCCTCTTGTCTGATCGGAAGCGAGAAAAGGGCCTCCTTCGGTGCTAGGTGGCTGTCGGGCTTGGTCTCTGCGTTTTGTGGACTGGTGCCGAGAAGGCATCCTGGCCTGGCTGGAGCTTGACGCGGTTTCTCGTGGCCCTCACGGCCGATGCAGCACACCGTGCCCATAGCCACTGGCCCTGAAGCAAAAGCCTCTCAAGAAAGGAAGATCAGGGGAAAGACCTTGAGAAGCAATCAGGCCTGCGGCTGCGAAGGGCTGCAAACACTATGAAGACAGGACAAGCTTGCAACAGACCGATGACCTTCGAGACGGAACTAGCTTGACATGGTCGCAACTTCAACGGTAAACCCCCTGAACCCAGGTGCATGTCTCCCTCTCAAGTTTTCAGCATGCTTGTCCCCGTTTGGGGACTTCGACGGGTATCGCTTATAGGACGGCCAAACTGCAGGTGTTGACCGGTTTAGCATGTCCACGTAGTGGCTTCAGCTTTGGAATGCGACCGCAAGCTGCCTCAAGGCATTCTCAGCTCGTTGGAAAAATCAACAGCGATATCTTTGTGTGCCTGGTTGAAGACCGTCACGAGACCCTGCTCGATGTCAGCATCAGGAAGGGTGCCATCAAAGCGCAGCTGCTGCAGCAGAAGAAAACGTAGTGTCTGCACGATGCGTTCGGAGACCTTGTGGCCACAGCGCTCATGGCCATCGCAAACACATGCCAATGTGTGGCCAGACTTGAAGCGTGTCACGGAAAAGTTATCTTGATTTGGCTCCTCCTCATCTTTGAAGCCGTTTTGTCATTTCGCCTGCCAAAAAGGCCAAAGATGAGGAGGAGCCAAACCAAGATAACTTTTCAGTGACACGGTTCAAGTCTGGCCACACAAAGTGCACCGTGAACCTCCCCAAAAGCCGCGGTCTCCCGTTCTGCAGCGCAGGGGGCAGAGAACTGAGACGCTGTGTGTATGCCATGCAGGTGTCCAAGTACGTCGCTCCGGAAGGCATTGTCCAGCTCCTCTTGTCTGATCGGAAGCGAGAAAAGGGCCTCCTTCGGTGCTAGGTGGCTGTCGGGCTTGGTCTCTGCGTTTAGCGGACTGGTGCCGAGAAGGCATCCTGGCCCGGCTGGAGCTTGACGCGGTTTCTCGTGGCCCTCACGGCCGATGCAGCACACCGTGCCCATAGCCACTGGCCCTGAAGCAAAAGCCTCTCAAGAAAGGAAGATCAGGGGAAAAGACCTTGAGAGGCTATCAAGCCTGCGGCTGCGAAGGGCTGCAAACACTTTGAAGACAGGACAGGCTTGCAACAGAGCAACAGACTCAGGCTCTCGAGCTGAGACCCACCTGACCCAAGAAGTCAAGGCCGCAGGTGGAGTTCAGGTCGAGGCCTCTTGCCAAAAATCGAGAGCTTTAGAATCTTAAGAAACGGGACAAGAAGTACTGCCCTTTGTTGCCATCGCCTTTCATGGCTGGGAGAATGATGAAGATCTCCAGGACGATGCTGCTCGTGAGCATCAGCGCCTCAGCGGCTCGGACCCGAGCCGAAGAGACAGGAAGCGTCTCTGACTCTGCAAAGCTCGGCGGCGCCCTGTGCTGCTTCCGAGAGGGTGCCCTTTGGGGCCGGAGACCGTAGTAGCCGGCAGAAGGCTGGCCACTGCGGTTTTGCTTCCATGTTCTCAACTACAGGAATTCAATTTCTCGAGCTTATGCCATCCTCAGCACATGCACAGGAGGCGCCAGTGGCACACTACCGAGGCCCAATCCCATAGTAGAAACACCACCAGATCCGTCTTCAAGCAGTTTTCCCGACAGCCACGGCCACCTGTGCACGAAGACACGAGCTAAAGGGTCGCACGCAGCCTCACTCCACGGCGAATACCGGAAAACCCCGGACTCCTTTACGCATCTCATCTAGATCCCCATATTGCGAGGTAATTAAAACCACGGCCCTGCCATCTCGCCGTGCATTTTTCCAAGGAGTGCCGTAGATGAAGATCGGCCCTTTCCTGGCAGCCGCAGGACTCAGAAAACACGTGTACGTGCAGTCCTCCTGTTCAACACAAGATTTTGATGGAAACTATCCATTCTCAGAGCCTCCCCCAGTCAAGCTTTATAGACGCAAAACACAGCGAAAGCGAGCAAGAGACGGGGACACAAAGACGGAGGGACGGAGAGACCATGTGCAATGGCTTTGCACATGACACGCGGGATTGCAATCGCCAGATGACGACATTATGTGAGATGCAGCCGAAGGCAAGAAAGAAGAAAGAAACTGCCCTCGGGCATGGAGCAAGCCGCTGCAAGCCACACGTGCAGGGAGCTGCCCCTTCCCCCGTGAAACACACTGCAGACGGAGTATGCGACGCAGTGCATGCCAGTGCGAGGTGTCGGGAGACCAGAAGTCTTCCACCTGCCGGGCTTCCTTTGCAAAGGCTCCAGGGCACTTGCAAGCTCAATGCCAGCACCCATACCCTGCCCCTTGCGACTGTCAAGGTCTCAGCGCTTTAAAGCCTTAAGAGGCTAGGTCGGATCGGGTCGATCCTGGAGGCCAGACACTCTGCTCCCCTCTTTGCCAGCATGCCCTTTCATCTTTACACTCCACCGTGCAAGCTTCGAGCCACTCCCTGCCACCGCGCATGTTTCTCAAACCTGCGTTTTCCCTCTCCCTCCGGGATGCTCCGCCTTCGAAGGTCACACGCCAGTCCAAATCTCTGAGCAGCAGGCCTCAACTGCATGAAGCAGAAAAGGACCACGCGGATCCCCCAGTAGAGCCAGTCTTCCAGGAGCGTGTCTCTGAGATCCTCTCAGTGGCTTATGGAGGCTGCTCCCATCTGCTCCCTTTTCCTTGCGCGCACCAGGCCAGGCCCTGGCAACAGCGCTCCTCGAAGGTGGCTGCACGCGGGTCTTTGCAGTCTCCAGAGTCCGATTGCCGGCACCTCCAGATCTCGTCTCTGGGGACAAGAGAACTTCAGACTCAAGAAGCCACATCGAAGCCAACACGACGCGTGTTAAGTGGTTTGCTGCCCTACGGCCCCAGAGCCGTACTTAAGGGCTTTGGAAGGCGGCCTACAACCGAGGAAGAATGCAATTGCGAAGCCGAGGCACTGCCATGGCTTGATCCTGAACTTGGCGCCCAAGATGAGGAAAGCACCTCGGAAATGCCCCAGAATGCGAAGGCCGACAACAACTTCCAGCTGCCCTCCCACGGCGTCTGCACCGGCATTGCTGTCCCGCCAATCGGCTGAGGCCGGGACCACCGACCGTGAACATTACCAGGCTCACCATGCGCTTGGCCAGCCACCAGACTCGGCATGCGCCAGATCTACTACTCATCGCACTGAAAACAGTCATGCGATGCAACTGTTCATGCAAAGAAGCCGTATCTACTACCTCATCTTATCGTACTGACATGCTGGATCACAGGGAGAGGGCTAGGATCCACGCGTCGAGGAACGCCAGGAGATCGCATGCAAAGGGAGGGACAGCAACCTCAAAATGAAGCCACAGCCGTGACAGGAACCCTGACATGCGTGTGCAGGCGAAGAGCTGTGCAGTTGAAGGGAGAGCAAAGTGGTTTGAAGCGGCGAATTGTGCAGCATTCATGGCATCGCTCCGGTTATGACAACTTTGGACCAAGAATGCACCAAAATGTTGTCTTTAAAACGTCACCTGGACTCCAGACCTTTTCTCGCGACTCTCCTCTGCAGATGCAGCCGTGTGGCGCCCGGGTGACCAGTAGCAGAGTGAGGGCAACCTCTGCCAACCTTATGGGCTTCAGGCACTAAACGAAAAGCCTGAAAGCCTCAACCTCTAGCAGATCGCATGCCAAATGCTCCGGACGGCCAGAGCATGATCTCAGAGCTCTTAGTTGCGAGCAGTAGCACAGGGCCCCGGCATGCGTAGCTCAGCGTGATGAGCTCCAGGCAGGCCCCAAGGCTAGCATCTGCCTCAGTGTGAGAAGTCCCGTGAACAAGTCTGCCCGGGAGCATACGATATGTTTCGGCCTTCTTACTTCTTGGAACTGGAACACCGGTTCTGAAAGTCAATACCCTCAGCAGCATGGAGGCGGGACAGAGAGAGAGAGAGAGACGAAAGAACACTGCAGAAATTCACGGCCCCGGGTAGGCTTGCGACAAGACTACAACGTCTCGAAGTGGATGTGCCATCTCTCTGCTTTGGGCTTTCTTGTTGCGGTTTTATGCAAGGACGACGAAAGTGCCCATGATGTCGAATATGATGACTATGATGACCGTGCTGAATCGAATCTGATGTGATGAAAAGAACTCTGTCGAAGAAGATGGTTGCGGTATGACGACGACCATGCCAGGCTGATAATCTGATATAGACATGGGCATGGATTGGCGGTTTGTGTCAACAGAAAACATCCACTGGCAGGTCTTGCCCTCGTTATGTCTGGCTGGCCATGGGCCATGGGAAGACCAGCTTTGCACCTGCGATGTTCAAGCAGCCGCACAGCAGCCACCCAATCACGATCGGAGTTTTCAGCGACTGCCACGACGAGGCAGATGAGATTCACAGGCATCGGTCGGATGGAGTACCCGAGTAAAATGCTCCGTCTCAGCTAAACAGAGGCTGTGGTTGAAGTTGTTGCCTGTATTTTCCGCAGTCTTCGGCCGCACCCGAATTCAGTCCGAGCTCGGTGCGATGGCAGTGTACTGGATGAAGTTGACTCTCGCCCACTGTGGCCATAGCCTGGGTTGACCACGGGATCACAGACCACTAGAGCTTAGCTTCAGGTTTGCAGGCTAATTGAGCGCACCAGCTAATGTAACGATGATGGCCGTAACAAAAATACCCAGACCCAGCACGTCTTGGCAGCCGCTCAAAGAGCCGTTGAAGGAGGTGGTGATATCGCTCCCCAAGCCTGGCTTGCACGAAAACCAAACAGCCGAAACATGAATGCAGCTGCAGGTATATACTTAATCTTACGCTCTTTCCTGTTGCTTCTCATATGCGCCTGTTTGTTGTAGTACTGTATCTTGGTTCCCAGCGTCTGAAATTCTCGTAGGTTCTCACTACATTACATTGCCTTCCCTTACCCTCTGCTACACTGCATGACAATGCATAACGTGGCACTTTACCTAAGCTTTCCATTTCACCCTACACGAAATTATGGTACACATTATTGTTACCGCTTATGGTGTATGTATATCCAAAAATACATACATACATACATACATACATACATACATACATACATACATACATACATACATACATACATACATACATACATATATATATATGTATGGTTATTTACTTATTCGTGATAACACACAGAGCAGTGCGAGAAGTATGTTGAAATACGCTGTACTGCATCGTTTGTACATCTTATTCCCCTTTCTGCCTGACGTAGCCCTTGAAGCTTCGCTGGCGCACACTGCATCAAGGGAACATGGTCTGAGCATTGGCCAAGCCTGCTCCCAGGTAGATGTACACAGCGACAAGCAGCGACCAAAGCCTTGAGACTTCAGACATTCAGCATCGTTCAGGGATGTCCCGAGAGTTCAAGAGTCCCGTCAGGTGAGGCAGCTCTTTTTGGAACAGTGGCTGTGGCATTGGCATCGCGAGCAGACGTGCTAAGGCATTCGTTGGCTGCAAGAAACTTGGCGGGATCATTCTCTGAGTATCACCTGGATTGTACATGGAAGTTGCAGGTTACAGGTTCGCCTTCGGCAGGATGCGATGCGCCATCTCTCGGGCTCAGACTTGAGGATCAGGGGCACCCGGTAGCAAATGAGAAAGTCGATCACGACCTCTCCGAAAAACGGGCCGAAGGGTGCGTGGTCCTGCAGAAAAACCTAAGCTTTCGGCCCAAAGACTGCTTGGCTCCTTGAACCTGGCACTCGCAAGAAAGGAGCGTGGCCCCAAGAAGGGGCACTCGGAAAAGGGACAGCAAAAGAGAGCCGGCAGCTCGTCTTTCCAACATCTTCGCGGCACTGGATGCCACCTCGGTTCTGGGGATCAAGAGAGCGAGTTGGGAGTCGAGTCCTCTTAGCATCTCAAGGCGAAGAACATTCATTGATGTCGTCGAAGTTGATGCCCAGCTCTCTCCAGCCGCTTGGCATCCTGAAGTTGGCATGGCGTAGGGCTACAGTCCTCGGGTCTCGAAAAGCTGCGACTGAGCCGGCGGCAGCTTTCGCGAAACTGGATTCGAGTGACGCGCCATCTTCTCAAGACCATCCTGAACTCAAGAACAATCAAGAAATCTGCGAGCTGCGAGGAGTATGCAAACAGGCTTCTCCGCCATCGCATGCTTGTCTCGAAGCGCGCACGTGGCACCCCCTGCAGTCCGGTCTTCCCCTTGTGCCTGCAGCGTCTCCAGATCGATCTGAAACACGACCTCTCGGCACGGGCCGTCGCTGGACTGTGCCAGGAGTCCCACCTCGAATGGGTACGGCTTAGAGTTAATGAGAGTTCAGGGCAGCTCTGCTCCCCCAATTCACCGCACCTGCTCCTGTGAGGCCATCAAGATCTTGAAGAACAAGAAGGCCAACCTTTCTGGGCCTTGGTCACTGCAACGTTTTGGTTGTACCCATGTGGCAGTCATCCACCCACGAGATCTGCTCCAAACCCCCCCTCCGCCAACCACCACGCTTTTTCGCGACTCAACACACAGCTTGTGAGATAGCTCCCAGGTCCGACAAGGCCGGGCGCGCTACCCGCTAAACCTGCCACGTCAGGAGAGGTCCCCAACATCACCAGATTTAACCAGTTAGGCGATTTGTCTTACAGATGTTCCCAAGGCCTGCAATGTAACATCTACTGGTTCTCACTTTACACACCTCTCCTGAAAAAACGTGGCGTGGGTCCTCAGCCACCTGAGCTAGGTAGCTAGACACTTCAAACTTTAGACCTGCATGAAGCCGAACATGCACTTCTTCTTGCCACCGCGATCTCTACATCCGACATTGTACATGCCCGTCGTATCAGCACCTGTCCAGTA